GCGAGCAGAGTCTTCTTTACCTTCCCCCGAGTGAGAGAAAGGAAAGAAGACTCTTTCCTTTCTCTCACTCGGGGGAAGGTAAAGAAGACTCTGCTCGCAGGGTAACCTCAGAATGGATATATATTTTGAAAAACGTATCTCTTTCCCTACGCTTCTTAGTAAATTTGCCCTCCAAACAACATGGCGTCGGAAACCGTGAAAGGATCTATAAATAAACTAATATAAAACTCGTGTGAGCACTCTTTTATGTAAATTATGACGCAGTAAATTCCTCGTCCACCCACTCATTGAAGGTTTCGGCATGAAAATCCCTTTTTCATAGCTATGATCAACTGTCACTAGCTATGATCTAATATTAATCTATATATAGGTACAGGAAACCATTAGTAGAGAATGGTGAACATAGCTAGGGATAGTTGATCATAGCTAGTGACAGTTGATCATAGCTAGGAACAGTTGATCATAGGTAGGGACGGTTGATCATAGCCAGAAGTTCATAACTATATGAACTTCTGTCATAGCTAGGAACAGGTAATCATACCAAGGGAGATGTGAGGTATAAGTGTGGAATACTTCTATGGGAGACTATACGTATGAGCGACTATATGACATTCTACCATGAAGTACATCCCTTCCAAGGAAAACAAACAACACTCGATCGATCGATAAAAGTCAATAAAATACACAAACTGGACGACAAATTAAACTCGATGGAGATTCAATGTTTTGGATGGTTTCAGTTGGTTTGAAGATGGTTTCAGGTCGTTTCAGGTCGTTTCAGGTCGTTCCTTGTTTAGTACTATTTTAATAGTACTATTTTAGATCAATGACGCAGTAGAAATTCCTGGCCCGCCCCCATTCAAGCTTACGGCATGAAATACGTTTTTTTCATAAAAATATTCGACTAGAAATAAATGTGTTTTGCTAATCAAACCAAATATCATTTTTCTTGCTTATAAAATAATATAAAACTCGTGCGAGTACTATTTTACATCAATGACGCAATAGAAATTCCTGGCATGTCCATTTATAATCTTTTGTTTACATAACTAATTCGAGTTGTATCAAAAAACAAAAATCGCACTTAAAGTTTCTAATTTAGCTCCAGTTTCTAATTATCTGATTAGAATACTACCAAATTATGTTTAAAGTAAGTTGGATTAAGGCACTCTTACCACGAAAACCACATATGTTCAACCTCTTTCACCTCCTCCGTGTCCCGATCTGACAGATCTCAACGTGCATTTTCACCTCGTATTTCACCAATGTCAATCATGACGAGGTCCACCAATTGCATCTTCGATATAGGTGTCATATTCGTAACACTAAATTCCGATCATACCTAACTCACCAAAAACAAATGTACTGTGCCCATAGGCCCAGCACAAAAAACAGACTTGGAAACTGGTTAAGGTGAGCAAAAAATAAGGTTTTAATTAGGTCTTTTACAGTTTTCCAAAAACAAAGCTTGCATTCATTTAAACTTGACAAGAACAACTGAGACAAAATAGAAAATAATGCAAAAGGCAATGCAAAATACAAAATGACTAATTTCTTTGGCAGTAAATTGGCGTTTGTTAATGTTTTTGAATATTTTTTAGCTTTTTAAAGTGAAAGTCTAGTAGGTCTTTATACAATAACATCTCTCAACAACACAAATTTAACTTCATACTTGTTCAAACAGCTTAATAAACAGTTGAATATTTGGTAAAAATGTATATTTCATTCAATGATTAAATAAATTATCTGTAGAAAGATATGAAATTATTGAATGAAAGTCTTGTTTGTTTTGCCGATTGGACCCCGCGATAGGAGGCGAACAAAGCTGCATTATTCTTTAACGAAAAACATACGATAGTTGGTTAAAAAACAACCGAATTGTTAAAGATTTACAAAGCTAAATAAAGGACGAATATTTGTTGTAATATGCTCTTCGTGTTATATTTCCTCCAGCATTGAAATGAATTAAGCTTATCGATAGAAATATAAAAAGTTTTGAGAGAAAGTCTTTGATTTGTCGATTCGTCGACTGAGAAAAATGCTTCTCAGAAAAATAATATACGATTGTTTGCTAAAAAACACACACCTGAATTCTTGAAGAACACTTCTTGATACATCTTTGACTACATGAAAGTATTTTTTTAATTGTTTTTGGTCTATGACTTGTCCTAAAGCGATTTTTTCTGTGCATTTGAGAGCCGCATTTGTGATTAGTTTTGCTTTGACATCAAGCGGGATTCCTGTGTTGTGTACACGGACTCACGTACGGACGGAAGTAACGTCAGCCAAGCCATGAAAAATCAACTCGATGGTTTATCATTTTTCCTTAAGTATGGTGCTCCGCTACAATCACTCACTCATCAGGTCGTATATACCGACCAACCAACCAAACCACTTACCCATCTCCCAGACTACTAACCAATATCAAACCACCCATCCATCTCCAGTCAACCAAACAAACAAATAACTAAACCACCAATCCATCTCCAAACACTAACCAAACACAAGCAATCCACCCACCCATCTCCCAACCAATCAAACCATCCACCAATGTCCCAACTAACAATCAAACCGCCCAGCCGTCTTACAACCAACGTACCGATCGACCGACCGACTGACTCACCTACCAAACACTGAGGCAATCGATCAATGCAGCCCGGACCAAAAAAGCAATCAATCAACCCACCAACTGACGTAAATGCGATCGATCAAGTAAACAATCAATAAGCAAGCAAATAATTATCAAACCAAAAGGGCTGGAAAAAACTTATATTAACTATTAAAACTTCTCAATCATATCTTTCTGTATTACCAATGTGAAGCTCAAATGTAGTATTCCACAAACGAAGACCCCATTTAGGATGAGCTCTGGTATATACTGTAACCTCTTCTACTTCCACACTTTTACCCAGATCAACACGCCACCATTCCTGGTAGCCTGTTTTAGCGCAGTGTGTACAGGAACCTCCATCCCAAATGCCATCACGATTACCATCAACAGCTCTTGATGCAGTTCCATTATAACTAGTGCTAGATTGTTCTGCTGTTTTATTTAATGCCAGGTTTTCTGTATATGTTAAAAACACATACTTCGCTTTAAATATGTATTGATTTGTGATCAAGGCAAGTTGGAATGCGGCTAAAGGATTTATTTTTCGCCGACCTTTCGGACTTATTGTCTCGAAGATGCACGATAAGTCCGAAAGCTCGGCGAAAAAATATAAATGTAAAAAGTAGTCGAACTTGCCTTCTGCATACAAGCACATTATTGATTAAGCATTGCTATTTTTATATAGAGGTTGCATTGCCACAATGTTGTAGGATCAACTTTTATTATCTCCAATTTTTTTCTATTTAAACACATGTTAAAGTAATTTAGTATAGACAATGCCATTTTTTTAAAATTTTTGGTCCGGGAGATATAAGTTTGAAGTTTATGCTAATTAGGACCAGGAAAAACAATTAGCCAATCATACTACGAATTCGTTTTTGGAGATTCTCATGGGTCTTTGCGTTCCCAATCCTTGTAAAGCAAGAGGGATATCAAAGCAAAGAAGATGGCGGACAAGGACAATCTTTCAATCCAGGCAAGGAAAGCAAGAATTTATAAATTTGATGATAGTAGCATTTTATATTTCAAAGTACCCTGTAACAACCTCAGTGGGCTGATCTAAGTCAGTACAGGGCTAACTCAGCAATTTAGGGAAAGGAAAAACGAAAAAACCTCTCCAATCAAGGGAATGACCTAAAATATAACGGGACTTATTATAGGCCAAAAAGGCCAAAAGACTCACCCGACTGTATTCGTATTCCATATATCTCAGCTCTTATACAAACAGCCCCGTGGTACATCATGGGTAGGATACGTAGATATCTGGCAACAATTCCTCGGTACATAATTTGCTTGACGATCCCAACACTATCCACGTTGCCATAAAACGTCTGGAAACAAGAGTCATAATGGTGGTGATGATGACGAAAAGGAATGATTATCATGATGGTGGTGGTCGTAGTGTTGAGTGTTGATAAGGGCGGTTATGGTTTATTGATGATGATGATAATTTTTATTGTGATCGTGATCGTGAAGGTAAGACAAATTATGATCATGATGGTATAATGACGAAAAGCAATGATTATGTTCATAGTGGTCGTGGTAGTGTTGATTGTTGATGATGGTGGTGGTGGTGGTGGTGGTGGTGGTGGTGGTGGGTAGTGGTATTGATGTTACTATTGATATAATGACAATAGCTACCTGTGATTTATTGCCATTCTCCTTGTATGGAATAAAAGTTTTCCCATCCTCAGAATAATTGATCTTGAAAGTTTCGACCCATTTTTTTGCCAAATGGTCACCCTGTGTTGACACAGCACAGATGATGTGGGGGGTCCCTAAGTCAATCTGTAGATAAGGATTATCATCATTTCCCATAGCACACCACGATGGTCCATTAGCGTAGTTTAGTCTGGCCTTGTCACCTGCTGTCCCTGAAGATGCTGTTATCTGGTCAGCTGCTATGACGTTTTCTTGCATGCCAAGAGCATTATCCCCACACTCAAATCCTGCAAAAGTTAATCACGTGATAATTTGTTCATAAATATTATTCTTAATGTATTATTTGTATTGTTAAGAAACTTAACATTTTCATCGATACCCTAAGACAACCTCTGGGCTTATAAAGTCAGGGCATGGCTAAATCACAGATCATTTGAACCCTGCGAAGCATCCTCTGGGTTGATGTAAGTCAGGGCATTGCTACATTAAAGATCGACTTCAAATTTGACATGTTAGTTTTTGCGGTGGGGGAAAGAGCCGGAAAACCAGGAAAACAACCCTCGAATCAAGGGAGAGGCATTCATTACTTGTTGGTTTTTTCTTTTAGGAACGAAAACGATACGAGTGACTTTGCTTCCTTTTTTTTTTGAACAACAACACGCTACAACGACGAAAATATAAAATTGGAAATCATTATCATATTCAAATAACAACCGATGTCTTGGTAAGTTCTGGCATCCAATTATAAACTTGTCACAGTTCCATTATGTTGCATCACTTGTATTTAGTTTGAGGAATCTAGGAATGTACACTGGATTTCTATGATTATCATTAATTCAACAAGTAGACGTGATTATCCATTTTCTCGATAACCAGAACAAGGAAATAAACTGGTGTGAATTATGATCCGCGACGACAAAAGTTGTTCCCTTCACAGTTCCCTGTGCCATCTTGAAAGGTAGCCATGCCTTTGCATTCCAGCGAGACAAACGGTGAACTTGCAATGATAGAGATATGTGAATAATTGTCCAAGGTGTTAAAAAGGTGTCTATCATTGAAAGCTCACCGTTTGTCTCGCTTGGATGCAAAGGCACGGCTACCTTTCAAGATGGCGCAGAGAATGTAAAAGGGACTTTTGACATTACTCTGTCAAACCTCACTGAAAACTGGATCATAAAATAGGACTTACCTAATACGTGTCCACCATGAATCATGTAAATGAAAACCACTAGCCAGTGAATCCCTGCCATCATTAGTGCATGTATTCTGAAAGAATAATATATCAAACAGGCCCCTTAGTTTGAGGTTATCTCTATGTACAAATAAATTAAGACTTAATATGGTTTCAGTTTAGTGGCGAATTGGTTGTTTCTTTTTGGATCATCCTACCGAAAATGAAATGTCAAGTAATGCTGTTACGAACCCGATTTGGTTCTATTATTGGAATATTTTCAAAGTAATTCATGCTACATTATTTAATATTCGATAAACAATTTATTCATTAATAGTAATAATAATAATAATAATAATAATAGTAATAGTAAATTGATTAATGATTAATCGATCTTGTGTTCAGATAGTATCGCGTTAGATACCAATAACATAAGACAACTGTTAAAATATATGCGAAAACTTTGATAGTCATGTTTGTCAATGTTCCAACTCGATTTTTAATTCTTTGCCAACTTTAAATTCTATGCGCTATTTCCTGCCTGTACAGTTACAACTTGGACCAAATCAGCATTGATCTTTCATACGATAATAAGTAATTTCTTGTGTGATGGTTTGTCCTTTCTAAGGTTTTGTTTGAATTAAGAAAAAGCTTTAAAACGAAACCTTTTGAAATAATAATACTAATGAGAAATATTTTTCATTTCATGTTATAAAAAGTTAATATCACTGATTAGAACGAAYTTTTTATATGCTACCAACAGCTCACGACTTATTACTAGGAGATTATTACAAGGAGGACTTATTTAAGGAGATAAAATTAAGAAGATGGGTAAATAGATATTGATGATACACAGGTCGTGGCTGTAAGTAGCAGATAAATGGAACCACAAAACCACCGGAAACCATGCATTCCATCCGACTGCGCGCGTGGTAACATGTTTAGCAAACCGAGGTCCATTTTCTATGCCCTGTACTCTTACCGAACATGGAATGGCGTCAGCATATGATCCAAACTCAATTGGAACTACGAGCTCAGCGTCTTGTGCCTTTATGAAGCGTTAATTACTCACCAATGTTCAGTAGGTCAATACCGTCTGAATCATTCGAATCTTGATCGATTGTTTGGCAGTCAATAATAATTGTCTATGCTAATATAAGTTATCATGTACGCCTTCAGCAGCTTGATGCATCAAACATAGGAATATAAACAAGGTCTGATAAGCTTGTTTCGCTATGATCCAAGCATGTTGACTCTGTGTAGAAACTGTGTGGTGGAGCCTTAAGGCGAATAAGCGTCTCGAATGGTCATGACAGTACTAAATAAACTACAGAACTCGCTCTACAAAAATCATAACAGTTTCTAGTAGCTAGACATTTACCTATTTCATAAAACGTCATCGCCAAAGGCGATAGGCGAAAAGCAATAGGAAATAGATCATTCCGAGATCCAAGAATAGCTGGAATGACTTGTGTTTCTACTTCTTCTGTATTCTCGTCAAGAACATGGACCTTTAAAGAGTTGAGACTGATTCAATGTTGTTTGCAGTCGTCGAAACCACTTCCGTCTCGGGATGACCTATCGCCTATTATTATCGCCTAATAGTCAAGCAGACACATGGCTGAAAAACAATAGAAATAAGATCCAGCACTAACCTTTTCTATGATCCAAGTATGTTGACTGTGTAGCAACTGCAGATCAGATGGTCGCAATACCCAAATAAACTACAGAACTCTCTCTACAAAACAACAGTTTCTTGATGTTATACATACCTGTGCATAATAGTCAAACAGACACATGGCTGAAATGAAGGATAACGAAAATAAGATTCAGTACTTACTTTTGCTATGATCCAAGTATGTTGACTCTTTGTAACAATTCCACCGTGGATATTTAGAGCAAATGAGATTGGGTCACAATTCTTAAATAAGCTACAGAGCTCGCTCTACAAAATTAACATAAACATTTCTAAAAGGTTTCCTTAGTAACACTTTCCTTCACAATGAAACGTATATTGTGATTTTCGTCAGACCGTGAAACAGTTTCTAGTGGTTAGTGTATAATAATCAAATAGACACAAAAGAAAACAATGGACAAGTAAAATCTACTGACCTTTATTAGTTTACTAAGTCACGGTCTGAAGAAAATAATCATAAACATGAGTCTGACTTAAAAAGAGCTTCAAGACAGCCAAGTTGTAGAGAGAACACAATTGTTTTCTTCTTTAGGAAATAAAAAATATTTTTGCAC